CCCAGCGACTTAAAACTGGTTTTGTGGTCCAGGGTCACATATATAAATGCAACCATGAATAGAACACTTCCATTTTTTCCCCTTGATTTAATTTTTTCCAGAACTTTTCGAACCTCTTCAGGGTTGTACCCCCAAGGTCCGATGCCACCCTGTTAGGAAGAATAAAAATGTATGTGAAAATCCTTCCATACTGTGGAATATATTTAGACTATACAATACACTGGCAATCAAAAATGCAACAAAAGTAAAAGAACAGACCCAAGCGACTATAAAAACCTTTGCCTCATGCTGTTCAACTCGTTCCAAACCTTTCACCTCTACAAACACGTGCAATCTCTTACTGCAAGAGGAAGAGTGTGTGTAAAAGCCTCTGCTTTCACTAGCAACTCTCTACTGCTCTCACGAGAGCTGTTATGAAGCTTTGGAAGTATTTCCTGTACTGTGTGCAATGTGCAGTTCGTCTACATTGCTAAATGCTCACCTGATAGAAAACGTTCCCACTCTGAATGACATAGAGGCGCTCAGGCAGAGCTCCGTATTTGCTGGCAGTGATGTTGGTCATCTCATCCACTACCACAGGGCAGAGGGGATCTTCTTTGACCAGGGTCTGGGCTGCAGCCAGTCTCTCCTCCAAAGTTTTGAGGACGCTGATGTCGACGTTGTTTACAAAGGCCCAAGCATCTATAACAAAACAGAATAATTTTGCTAGTTGCATAACATTTATCACTTAGTGCTCTATATGTTAAGTACTCTACAGTGCATCTGGGCATAGATGATATCAACCCATATTAAAAGCACAGATGCCCTTAAGTTCTAATTAATTGAAATATAATTGTCATTACCAGTTGCATGCGCCTCTGCAAGGTAAACCACGAGGACGGGTTCCCTGTGAAGAAGACTGCATCAGTAACAGTGTTGGATGTAAAGTATTACTAAGTAATTAATTATAAATGGTAATTTAAGTAATGGATTACTCTTAATTTTTCTGTAATTTAATTACAGTTACTTTTGATGTAATTGTATTAAATGCTGTTTAGACTATAGAGACAACTATTTTTAATGCAACATCCCTTTTAATACTTTGGTCAGTTCAAGAATAATTGATACAATTTTATATTATTTATGTGAAAGAACTGAAAGAGCAGTTTCATGTCTATCAGCGTATTGTTTAACTGGCTGAGGTTGATATTGGATTTAAAAAGTTATTCATAATAGGCAATGCAATACTTTTAGAGAGAGTAATTAGTACAGTAATCTAATTACACTGTTGAAAATGTAATTAGTAGCTA